ATGCCATGTTAATCGTTTTCTCCGACCTAAATTTAGCGGGTGTATACCTTGATTTATGGGTTCATGAAGCTTTGTAAATATATTCGCATTTTCGAAACACGGTAAATTTTTACCTTTTTAAACAGGTCAGGTCATAATCTGTAGTTATTAAGCTTCCAGTAAATATACGGTTTATATGGGTTTTTGTTAAAGCCACGAACGCTAGAGCGGACCGCGCACGGATGGTCAAATGGGTTATACTGATACCTTAAGGTGAACAGTCTTAAAAGGTACACAGCGGGAGCTTTTTTGTACCTTTTAGGGTGTTGACCTGAGAAAAATATCACAGGAGATTGATCCACTGATGAAGTGGCTGCAGCCTCGAAACGTATGTATGTTTACATACTTTTCGCGCAGTAATGAATATTTACTACGTTTCTTTATCTACATGTAACAGGAGATTTATTGTTGTTTGGTATTGGTACCTCTAAGGGTTGAAAAAAAATTCAAGCCACGCCAAAACTTTCCAATGAGCACCCTGCCCTTTTTATATGGAAGTCTTCCCCAGGATGTAACTAAGGAAACTGGCACGTTTTGTGCCAAAAAAGAAGGGGGGTATCCATATGAGACTTCTCAAGCCTCGTATCGATATCGTTGAATTGTGGACAATAAAATAAGAACTGGAATGTGCATCGATATATACTAATGGTCAATTTGTACCAGGACTTAAGCTTACTGTATATATGATTTAAATTCGCCAGTGAGCTACTATTCAGCACGGTGTATAAGTGGAAACCAACAAAACGAAATAATCTTTTTGAGATTGTTTCTTGAATGAAATGAGATGGCTGAGGCCTCCAGGTCAATTTTGGTACGCTTGGGCTTCTAATACCGATATTAAAGGCTGCCAGGTTTTGCAGCCATAACAAAGCATAGTCTTCTAAAATCATATCACATACCATCCCTTCCTTTGGACCAAAAGTAGAATTGTAAATAAAGAAATTGACAAGACCGGGAGATGTTTTCATGGCTGCCATCTTGATTTTTATGACAGTTTTTGCGTAACACATGACGTGTATTTTGCCGAGTGAGAAATTCCGCTGACAAATTCCGTTTGTAATCAAAGCACACAAGATGGCGGCCTCCGGGGAGGAGACAGCGTTATTTTCCAACTTCGAAGCAGGGCTTTTGCACGTAAAATGTAAAACGAATTAGTTCAGAAACTGATTTTAATTTCATTTTGATCATGATGGATGACATTTCGGTCAGGAAGCGGCATCTAGAAGACAAACTAGCACAGGTATTTCCTGTCGAAGCATTGCTCCATTAAACCTTTCCCGGGAACCTTTGGCGGTTAAAAAATTAATATGTGTCTTGTTTTCACTCTTACTTTAATTAGCCTCTACAAACATCTTATGGTGAGAAATCAAAATTATTTTAAATACCACGACGGATTACTCGTTTTATTGATATCTTCTTAATGATTTAGGAAAAAAATATCCTGGCCTTTCTAAAAGAAAGCTTGGAAAAGACTGATCAAATTACTGGAAACATGGTAAGTATGATTCCTTTGGTTGATGTCCACTTCAAACTAATTCAACTGAAAAAAAGTTAAAAAAATAAAAATATATTTAATTCAACTGCAGGGGCTAGTGTAGTGACCATGCATGCACGAGGCTACCTCTGTAATTTTGTTCCTCTCATAGCATTTTTGAAATACAGCATATCTTGGTTCACCCATGCTGCTGATCATAGCTTTTGCTAAATTAAGAGATTTTGACCAAAAAATCTCTTTGCAGCACTACAAGTTAAGAGAGGTTGCCCCTTGTAGTAATTTATCCTCTGCATAAGTATGAGGATACGGACATTGACAATTTGGTTGCAGAACCCTTGCAGTCAGCAGACCTTAAATTATTGACAAATAAAAAAGGAAAGAAGAAGGAATTTCGCATATGACTTAGTAAGCCACTACACTCAGGACAACTACATGTAGAGGGTAATATTTGCTGTTTGCATCGGTGGAAGAAAACACAATCTTGTTATGTGACTTGTATGTTTGTAGCTGGACATCTTGTCCAAATTTGAAGTACGCATACACAAGCTGGAGGACACCATTGTTCCTGTGCACAGAGAAACGGATGACTTGCAGAGAAGACAAGCTAGTATCCTTCATAAGTTGTTAAAAAAACTCATCATCTTTTGCACCTAATCGTAAACATGTCATTAAGAACTTATCCTTTATGGTCAATAATTTGAAGTTTTGCAGACCAGTTACCCAAACTTTTACACCCAAAGTACAATGAGGGTTGTACAGGGGGGTCTCTGGCACAGTTCACGAACAGAAAAAAATAGAGGAGCACGGATCATTGATAAGAAAATTTTGTTTTCCTGAATTACAGAAATAAGCAAGCAAGATACTCTTTTTAATAACCTCTTCTTATACTAGAAAGAGTGTTTGAAGAGAGCAAAATCGTGAAAGGCTAAGTCAATGCTCCATATTGCTGAATCACATGTCTAAGTCACTCTTGATAGACAACTCTAATTATTTGGAGGAATTGCATCTCAAAATCACATAGAACAGAGTGGCGAAATCATGAATATCGGTTACTAATTCAAGTTCTTCATGGGTCACGCAAAACCTTCAGGTTACAGATCACGAAGCATAATTTCCTAAATTCACGTTTCACGGGAAAAAAAAATCAGCTAATCACACATCATGAGAATACCCCTGTACGACCCTCTACAATTCAACACAGTTGGTATAGTTTTACTTCGTTATCATATTATTTTCAACAAGACCGTAGTATGAATGAAAATATTAACCAGAAGCTCCCTTGGATAAGGAGATTCAGTACTGATGTGTTAAAAATATTCCAGCAACTTGATATAGCGATACCAACTGTGTTGTACTTCTGGCACAAGTTCACACTGCAGTCTACCAAACTTAAAATGAGTGTTGATGATTCGCGTTATGTTTGATACACAATGAAATGTTTAGCTTAGATGTTTAGTCCATTGTCAAATGCAAACATTTATTTCCCTGTAAGTTTTCAGCTTGGTAATGCCTCTTTAACTCCTCCTAGACATTGATAAATCTTTAGCGGCTTTGGATCATGTGATCAGTTACCACCATGTTTATGCCAGCGTTGAGCATGTCATTAGAGATGCGTAAGTTGCTACTAGAATGAATTATCACACAATTAAGAAGAGGAAAAATGCTTGTTTATGGTTTAATAGTGAAATACATACACACGACTGTCAGGATAAGGTGGGTTAGGTTGGAAGACTTACCTAGGGATAACATACATGGAAATGTCTAAAACACCCTCAGATTGTCGTGGACCCCTCACAAGCTGACCAAAATCAAAGTTCTTCACCCAAAATATTATTTTTAGTGATATTTCTGTAGATTTTAAAGAAAAACATCCTTTAGAGTTTTCTCAAAGTGGGTGCCAAAGTCTTTTTATTAACATATTGTTATGATGAATCCTGGTAGAGTTTTAGGATTTTTTGAACGAGACAAAAAAATGTTTGGCGTGCGTTCACATGGACTGTATGTTTTGCACATTTGACATCATCACAAACATTTTTTTTGTTTATTAACAGCCCTTCTGGCCAACTTGATGCATACATCAAGAATTTGGAGAGAGTGTTGGATGCAATTGACTTTTTTAATCAGAACAATCCAAACTGTTTAGAGCTCTCAAACCTGGTAAGTGTTTTGTTCTGAATAATTATTCGTTATAACATGAGTACCTTTTGGCACAAAGAAAAAATTGGCTCCCTGCAGATTCAGATTGCAATTGCAATCTGATAGGCCCTGATTCAAATCTGCCTGTATTTATTTTTTTGGGTAGGGAGGACGGAATTACATAGAGTCAAAATGCTGACTAGATGTTGAGAGACATTGATATGAAAGACAGTAATACTAGCACCCTACTTGTATATCTTAGTCAGAATGTCATTGTCTTACTTTTGTTGTAGTTCTTTTGTAACTTCTTTAAAGGTTCTAGATTATTCAGTCAAGAGAGTCTTTTATTAGGTTTGTTACTTAATAAACAAGTTGCAATCCTAATACACCAAACACTTATACCTTTGCAGTCTTCCTTGCGTGACTATGGACGTGACTCACTAGGGAAAGAATTCCGTCTCCTGCTGAACAGGCACAGCAAACCTGTTCCCGTGGAGATGATCTTGGCACTGATTGAGACTCAACAAGGTGATAAGTTAGTCCTTAAACTCCTATTGTTCCCCAGTAAATATTAGACACCAAACTTTTCATGGAAAGTGTGATACCAAAATTGACATGCTGTACTAAAACATCATACCAGTTAGCCCTGAGGTCTTTTCTTTTTATCTCAGAGAGGTTTTCTGTGGACTTTTTAAGAGTGGGCTAACTTTCAGGTGGATAGGGGCTCCAAAGGGACTGGTAAAACATCTGTTTTATTTTAGAGTACCGACTGCATGGAAGCAAGTACTGGTCAGCAAAACAAAACAAAAAGAATAATAACAATTCAGGAAAAACTCTCTATGTCATAGTGCATCTTGAAAAGCATGGCCAATGCTTTCAAGTTTGTCTTTTGAAATCAAAATCCTCTTCAGTCACTCAGCAGAAATATTTGAAGGAGTTTATTATTGTTAGAAAAATATATTTGCTTCAACTTTTAGCATAGTTATTTGCTGAGGAATGAAACTCTTTTATGTCTATATTTTTATAAATATTGTAATACCTCATTTCTTGTTCAGTGCATGTAGTGAGACTGGTCGGTCAAGCTTTCTTTTTGGAAATTTAAATTATGTAATTATGTGTGTTTACTGTCTTTAGACACCCCAAAGGAAAATGTCAAGCTGGAACATTTATCAGGTCTGTAATGATATCATGTTGAGCTAAGAAGGGGTTATGTTATGTTAAAATAATATATTTGTAATATTACTAAGTAGTCATTAATATTAATTACTGGGTGTTTCTATTTGAATTCAGGGATTTTTATTATTCTTTTCAAACCATGCATTGTTATCACATGATTGGTTTGATTGCAGTATTTCAGTGGATTAAAAATTTAAATGCATGTACATGTACTTAGTTATATATGTAATGTTTTTGTGGAAACTTGAAGTTACACATAATTATTATTGTGATTGTTACTTGGAAATGCCACCTGATTATTACTATTCTCTTTCCATTGTTTGCAGAAAGAGTTTTGGAAGACTTATGCACCATAACCCATTGGTTGAATGGACCTGGTAAAGATGATTCTACGGGTATGTGAGTTTTAAGTGGTAAAAACATTTCAAGGCTCTTCTTGTAGATCTTTGAGGATAATGTTAACAATAAAATTGAAGGATTATTAAATTATTTAATATGTTATTGAGGGCCTTGACGAAGATCAGTGACGATCTTGAAAGAACCTTAAAATTCTTGACAAACATCTGCAACCGAAGGATCTTCTAGGTTCTTCTAATGATCAAATTGCACGAATCTTTATTAGCTAAGATTATTTTGTAATTTCTTACATTTTTCCACCCTGGGCTTCACTCAGTGGTATTTCCTGAGTTAAACTATTTCTGCAGAAGGGTTTTTTATACGTCCTACCCTTCTGTATATGTGCTTAGTCATTTAAAGATTTTCCCATTTAAAGCAAACTTATGTCCAAACACAAATTGTGCACAAATGCACTTTTATGGCCACTCATCTGGATCGCACATGTTACTTAAGAGTCAGTTTATTACAAGCATGGCGGCAATTTAATAGTTGGATTTTCACAGTTCTAGTTTATTATATTAAGATGGTTTTCCTTTTTTTTTTGAGCAGAATTTATGAGTGTCTATGCACAAATTCGATCTAACTCCCTTTTGAGGTCACTTCAGGGGTGAGTATTTTTTAAATGACCATATTGTGTTGGCTTACTTTTGGTTGATGAACAAAGTTGTCTTCAAATGGAGAGAAACCTGGAAATAAAAAGTTAACTAACAACATTTAAATCACATCGTTATCTTTTCCCAATTTTCATGGAAATGGTGCGATTCCTGTTGGGGACTCAGATTTTTTTCTTTGTCCCACACTCTTGTCATGTTGATCAGTTCAAATTTCACATTTCATTACCAAGCTTAAAATTCACCATCTTTATTCACTTACCACAGTCACAATGACTTTGACAGTGCTCATCCTAGCAGTATGCAGGACGCCTGTCACATATGAACTCAATTATTTAAATGACCTTGCTCTCCAAGAGTTCTCGTAGCTCAGTGGATAGAGCACCTGCCCGGTGTTCGGGAGGTCATGGGTTCATTTCCTGTTGGGGACTCAGATTTTTTTCTTTGTCCCTCGCTCATGCCATGTTGATCAGTTTGCTTTTCACATACATTTCTTGTTGGACTAAATAGACATTTCATCACTGACACCACTTTAAATTACATTGCATTACATTGCATAAGTTTGTATTACATTGCATCCCAGTCCATGTCACAAATATTGAGAACACTTCCTATAACATTACATTTATTCAGTATACCTAGATATTCTTTGTCAGACTTGACAAGGATTTTTGTATTTTTGCCTTCACAGGTTAAAAGATGTAAGTATCATCTAACAAATGATTAACAGTTTAATTAGAAAGTATATTGAGGGATGATGCATGATTGGACGTTTTTGTTTCTTGAGTGCCTCTATTCTACCAGGAGAACATTTTTTTCTTGTATAATTGGGTACTGGTGAACTCTTTAATGAACCCTACTAAATACTGTGGGATAGCATGGCGTTAGACTAGAATCCTACATAGGGGGAGTAGCAAGACTACCCCCTGCTTCATGCTATGGATAATGGGATAGGCTTCAGCTCTGTGAACCATGTTGGCCCAACTATTACTGAATGTTTACCATAATTATAATATTACTTGATACTATTTAATTTGGAATTTAATCAATACAAGTTGATTTCAATATAATTTATTCAAAGATATACAATGTAACTTATGGTAGATCACGTATGTATTAGTACACTCAAGATGTGAAGGTGTAACAAAAAAATGGAGTTTGTTTAATTTTTTTCTTTTTCAGTCTTTTGGTGGAAAGGTAAAATCTACCCAAGGTTTGTATCAGTCAGTGCCATTGGTAAAACTGAAACTTGTAAAAGAATGCTGATACATAAAGTGCCCAACATAAACCTCTCTATAGGAAAAGGTTTTAATTTTCTGGCTTTGAATCCAAAGATTCCAACTGGAGTGCCCTTTCAAAACATTTGAGAACATAGAAGTTTGTTTAATAATCTGATCTGGTCACATGTACATACTGGTACATATATTCACAGTTGATTTGTCCCTTTGTTTATAATCCATACGTGAGGTGCACCCTCATCATGCTTATGGTTTTAAGCCTGGTGGTATGTGTACTTATGTTATGTGCATGGGTGAGGCACTGTACTCTCCATGCCTTACTCAAACCAGTTGATTATGAGTAAACAAGAAATTGCTGTTACAAGGAGTAACCTGAAGTGGATTAACATCCCAACCAGAAGTAGTAGCAATGTGACCAATTCCTTAATGTTCCCGTTAAGCTATGACACCATTAACCTGACAGCGTGCCTGGAACTGGAGCACATAATGCTCTGCTTTATTGAAAATTGCAGAATGTTCACGGAATTGTATGTGCTACAATTGGTCAGCTTGACTTCTTTATAACTTGATAGAGCTTGTTGCAAAATTTACATCAAGTGTCTATTTACTCCAGCTATAGTACAGTTGGTTTTCCTTGTCCGTCATGAGTTTGAATGCATGCACTTACTTGAACAATGATTTTCCTGAAGCAAAAAGCAAACTATCTTCTTGTGAATGTTGAGTTTTGTGTAAGCACTTGGGGAGTGGGAGAAGCACTCAGTTGCACCTTGTGTTCTTTATGCACTTTTCTCGGAATGTGTTCTTAGCAATTTGTGTGCTAATGTTTTTTTAGGTGGTGTGAACACACCTACAAGAAGAGGAACTAAAAAGAGAGAGTATGTATTGATCAAAATTTACAGATCTTTTAATTTTGGTCTTGCAGTATAACAATTCTTAGCCTAGGAAAACATCAGTTCTTTTACACCCAAACAGCATGTTTTCATTACATTACCTTATTTAACAATATTGTGAATGTACGTTATATTTTAAGGCATAGTGCTAATAGGAAAGTCGTATAAATTAACTGTTCAAGATTAATAAGTATTTTCTTCAGCAAGAAAAATAAAATCAAATGCAATCAGCTCTGTTTTATTTTTAGGTTGCGCCGAGTTCCCTCCAAGTCAGAACATCATGGTAAAAGATTTACTTGTGTCTTGTTTTCATTGGTTGTTATAATATTCGTAAGTTGTGATTGTACCAATAGGTCAAGCAGCCAGGGCTACAGGTCGGCTATACGTCAAGATGANTTCTTCCCTTCGTTTGGCGGGAAGGATAATGTGCCGCCATAAAAAGCCGGATTACTGAATTGTTTTGCTTTGAAATGTTGCTCTTGACTTTTCCGTTGTGATGTGCAGTGGAATTACCAAGAATTCTGAGGTTATGTAAGGTGGGATCTGTGAGCCTGATCCTTGTCAGTCTGTCCCGATCTGTAAAATGGTCGATCCTTAAGAACTTGAGCAGATGACGACTAGCCGCCGTCACAACTTTCGGAAGAGCTAGTGGTGTTCCTGATCGGACAATAAGAATCGGAACTCCTCGGGTTCTTTGCCATAAACGACACTTGTTTCACCGACTGAGTTCATTTATGAGTTCAAAGACTTCAAACGTTACCTTTCATCATTTGCTTGGAATTTTTTTATATTGTTAACAGGAAACATTTCACAGGACTCGGGGGCAGTTCCCTATACTCATTAACGCTATGGAGTTAACGGTGAGTCACTCCAGAAGAAACAGCCGTGATAGGCTAACATCCGTACCCGTTACTGGATTTGTCACGCAACACTTATCACCACAGGGATTCACAAATGATTTGTGACGCTTTGAATAGCAGAAATAGTATAGCGCGGGTGTGAAGTGCAAGTGAAAGAGGGACTTTTGTTACCAAGGGGGATAGGGTTTTGTTGAATGTTTTTAAATTGTATTTTCCCCTTGCTCTTTTTATGCATATGACGACGGTATTAAATTAATTAAACCGCCGGTAAACCTCTAACTTTTGTTGTATTATCTTCTCAGTCTGCCAAGGCTCTGGATGATTTCGCTGATGGGATAAAGGTGAACAAAAACTTTGTTCTAAAATTTTTCTTAAGATGGCTTTTGCTTCATGTCATCTCTACTCATTTTCCTTATGAACTGTTGCCCTGTTGATGCTTTCAACTAAGGACCTGTGTTTATAAAGAAAAATAGTCCCTGGTCGGTGGATGACTCTCAATACAAATCCACCACGGGAGAGGAAGCGTTTCTGACTTTTTCTTTGAAATATTTACTAAAGGAATCCCAAAATTAGCTCAACGGTAGAGTGACCCTGGGTTTTCAAGTAAGGATGACCCCCCGGGGGGGGGGCCATTTGTAGGAGACATATACAGAGCATCTGCCGAACAAAGAGGGCCAATTTTTGGGTGGATCAGCAGGGACAAGGGGAGAGGGGATCCTTCTCATCAGGGACAACTTCTCAACATGTGAATAGGCCTTAAGATAGATGTTCTTTTCTTGTTGAAGGCGTGTCACTAGGGTCTTAGCACATCGCCTCTCTCTCATTTTGGATACTTATTCTTTTACAGCACGGTCCTGACAAGCATTCCAACATGCCAAGCGATGGAACAGTTCACGAGCTGACCAGAAACGTACGTTATTTGCAGGGTTTTTCATAATCACTCGGTAACAAAGCTCTATTGCTGCTATGGTCCGTATTGTGTGTGCTAAGACCTCTTTAAAACTGATGAAGAAATTTTGATTTAGTTTGTCGTTGGCTATCATGAAAGGGCTGCTGTCTATCGTGAATTAAATCTTTTTGTTGATGTTGTTCACTCTAGACACTTATTTTCATGGAGCAACTCCTACCCTACACTGAAACAGTTGGAAGCATGTTAGTCACCATGCAAGGTATGGAGTGAGAAGATCTTGGAAAAGAATTTTCCTTCAGGAAGAATTTGAGGCATTTTTCCCAGTCTGTCCTTAAACAAAGCCAATTAAAAGTAATTAACTAAATCTGGCAAATCACAGCAAACGTAGCGAATGCAATAAATCAATCAGAATTCGGAGTAATAACGCGCAGTCGTGCAGCTAGTGCCTAGCGCTGGAAAATCGGCGTGCGCTAGTCATGATTGTCGTGGTTTTGCTTCTGCTTCTGATTGGTTGAAAAGAAGACCACGAGGCAAATGACCGAAAACGGATGTGACCAAGTCGCGATTGGTTTTTGGATTTCCATCTGATTGGTTGGCGGGAGTTTCTTAAACCAATCACACTGACAGAGTGCATTAAAGCAGAACCAAACCGTTTCTGAATTACTTTCTACACTCTATTGAAAAGCGCTCTACATTTCCGTGCTTTTTGCGATTGTTCATTTGTAAATTTAACCGTCGTCAAAGTTAGCTTGTTTAGGTTTTGACCGTTTATTCCATTCCATACTGCAGAGGAGCAGAGTGGAAATTTCTTTACAAGAGAAACAGAACTCTTTACAAAAGTTGTTGCTGAGTACGTCCGTAAGTAGAGGATTTCTTCGTGAGTTTTGTTTCAGTTTTTCTGTTTTGCTCTGAATAAAGAAAATCGCTGATGTTTATTTGCTCGTCATGCAATATTTCTTCCGTTTCGGAGGAATGATTGTGTGACGAGGGAAGAATTTTAATCAATATCAATTTATGCTCTTACTATGCTTGTAAGGATAAAGGAAATTATCGAAGAAACGATATGGTCTAGATCTACCGCTAAAATTTCCATATCACTAGCAGAATAAATGTATGGTGATAGCATATACATTTCTGACCTTGAAGCTGAGAGGTTTAAATTCGACCTTCATTCAATCGCAACTTAAACCTAAAACCGATTTCTGCCGATTGTTTTTTCGTCCTAGCCTATAACTAAGCTCGTCCACAGCCTATTGTTGTGTGTGCAAAAACATATCGTTTACTCATGGTTATACCTCTCTAACGCAGAACGAGTGCTTGGAGCCTTGGGTCTGAATCTTGAGCTCAAGGCCAGAGTGTATGAGGCGCCAACTCTTTGTTCTCTGTTCTTGTTGAACAACTACAATTACATAGTCAAGGCTCTACAACGGTAAGACTGGAAAAATATTTGAATGTGATCATTTTTAGGTGAATTCAATTTTCATGTGGTTGAAAGGAGATGTTATTGAATATCACTTTAAGGAGGCTTACAATGCTCTGTCGCAGGTTAGGTCTTCTTGCTCTTCTTCAAGAAGGAGGAATCTCTGGAGTCGAAAAACAGTACCAGCAACTGATTGATGAACAGAAGACCACATATCAGAAATGGTATGACCGAACAACCGACCCATAGACCGACTGGCCGACTGCCTGACTGCCGGCCTGCTTGCTTGCTTGCGTGCTTGAGTGACCGACTGACTGACTGACTGACGGTCCGACTTACTGCTTGATTAGCTCACTGTCTGTCTGTCTGTCTGTCTGTTTGACTGACGGATGGACGGACGGGCGGACGGACCGACAGACTGATTGACTGACTAACTGATCGACTGACTGACTGACTGACTGACTGTTTACTTGAACAATGATTTTCCTGAAGCAAAAAGCAAACTATCTTCTTGTGAATGTTGAGTTTTGTGTAAGCACTTGGGGAGTGGGAGAAGCACTCAGTTGCACCTTGTGTTCTTTATGCACTTTTCTCGGAATGTGTTCTTAGCAATTTGTGTGCTAATGTTTTTTTAGGTGGTGTGAACACACCTACAAGAAGAGGAACTAAAAAGAGAGAGTATGTATTGATCAAAATTTACAGATCTTTTAATTTTGGTCTTGCAGTATAACAATTCTTAGCCTAGGAAAACATCAGTTCTTTTACACCCAAACAGCATGTTTTCATTACATTACCTTATTTAACAATATTGTGAATGTACGTTATATTTTAAGGCATAGTGCTAATAGGAAAGTCGTATAAATTAACTGTTCAAGATTAATAAGTATTTTCTTCAGCAAGAAAAATAAAATCAAATGCAATCAGCTCTGTTTTATTTTTAGGTTGCGCCGAGTTCCCTCCAAGTCAGAACATCATGGTAAAAGATTTACTTGTGTCTTGTTTTCATTGGTTGTTATAATATTCGTAAGTTGTGATTGTACCAATAGGTCAAGCAGCCAGGGCTACAGGTCGGCTATACGTCAAGATGATCATAAGTACCCATTGTACTTATGACTTTCATTTTTGGATGATATATTTTTGTACACCTTGTCTTCTCCGGAACTTTGTTTTTAATTTGTCTTGGTAGGCTATTCTCGTCGGACCTCAGCAATTCCAACAGATGTTGGTGCCGCCAAAGAGGAAGAAGAGTAAGTACAGAAGTGAACCCCTTTCCTCACCAAGCTCAAATTATTAATTCATGCCAGAGAGATAGGTTCAAGGTTCTTGCATTGTGTTCTTGGATGTTGTCTCCCTTCAATCTCTCACTTTTCTTCCTTGGATACTGCAGCGAGATTGAACAGAAATTTAAAGGTTTTTTTTCTAGTTTTGGCACAATAAATTCTGGTGTAAATGTACGAAAAGGCTATTTAAAATCTTGACATATTCATAAATTGCTCATCTCATTGCTTGGGAGTGAGGATGATTCTGTTGATGCCCATTCCCTAGTCTTGATATTGAATACCCATAACATTATTTTATGTTGTGACTGTATTTATAATAACTTCCCCTTTTCACAATTATACTTTTCATCATTAGTGCTACCTATCACTAGTTTGACTCAATGTAGTTGCAAACATGTTTGTTAATTAAATTAAATTAAATTAAATTAAATTATTATTTTCCTTGTGACCTAATGTCTTATTTATTTCAATGCCTGCCTCAATTAGGCTATGCGATATGCAGGTAGAGTAAGTAATTTGGTTTTGAGTGGAGTAAAAGTAAATTGAAATTTAAGTTGAATTGAGTTTCTGTGGAGACACGTTGGCCTAATGATTAGTTGACTGGACTCCAGATTATAGAGGCCTAGGTTTGAGCCCTGGTCAGGGTTATGGTGTTGTATTCTTGGGCAAGACTCTTTGCTCTCACAGTGCCTCTCTCCACCCAGCTGTATAAATGGGTACTAGTGAATTTAATGCAGGGGGTAACCCTGCAATGGACTAGCACTCCATTTAGGAGAAATAGGAATACTCATAGTTGCTTAATGTTGCAGAGAATGGGATAAGCTGTCAGTCTGGAGGTATGGGTACCTTTGCTTGATGCAGGCTAAGCAAGCCTTTTAAATAAAATTTATGGCTGGCTTTCCTTCTTTCAGGGAAATTGATGGTGCAAATTACATTGTGTTCTGTAAATCTCTGCTCAAGCTCATACAGGTGATAACCCTAGTTTTCTTATTTATGTTAATTATAAGATCATATTTTTGTGATATCCAGAAAAACTAAGTCTTAGAATTTAAAGACCAAGGCTGAGGATGGTAATTATTTCAGAGACTTTATTTAGTCTGAATATTACAAAACCTGAACAGCAGCTGTTCAAGTTAAATTTTCCTTTGTGAAGGGAATAAAAGTATCAGGTGCAGTACAGGCCCCAGTTATTCAAAGGGCAAGTAATGCTATCCAATGGATAAATCACTATCCAGTGGATAGTGCAGTTTGTTTTGCCAGTATTTTTCCACCCAATAGTGATTTACCCTGTAAATAGTGTTATTTACTCTTGGAACAACTGGGTTCAGGCCTAAAGCTCTTAGCTGCTCCTGTTGGAAGTTTGGCTTACTTTGTAACAACATAACGTGTTTTGGCACATTTTACAGCAATGTCCATGAGACTTATATTAAGAATTAGCATGTGAATGCTGACAGATATAATACCTGATGTTTCACGCCGTCAAGCAACAGACAAAAATCCTTCAACGTTTGTAGCTGGTTAGGAACAGATCATGCCTCGTATGGACACTTCTGTTAAATTAAATTTTGAATGATGAAGTTAATCGCTTGCTCATTCTATGGTGAGGTAACTTTCTAAGCACCTATCCCTGGAAAAAAGATTACTTTGTCACAAGCATTTTGCTGTTGTTTCATTGTCTTGTTAGAGTGAACGAGAGCTGATGAAGAGCATTATCCCAGAGCAAAGCCAGAACACTATTTTTGACATGCTCATTCAAGCTGCTATGGATGACTTCATATCTGAAGGAGAGGTAATAACAATTAATCGCCATCAAAAGTGTTGGCCAATTGTTGTTTTTACGATTTAAAGTACCATAATTTGTCTTGATTCGTGATACAGGTTTGTTTTGTAAAATAGTTCGGTGTATCTTTACTCAGCGTGGGCTTTCATATTTGAGGGGCACTGATACATTAATATATCTCTCAGTTAGTACGTGTGCGCTGTGATTGGTCAATTGAGCGGGCCGTATTCTACTGTACGGCTAGCTAAAATGCCAAAGAAAGAAAGAAAGAAAGAAAGAAAGAAAGAAAGCTGTTTTTGTCGCCAAAATGTTTCGTGATTTATCGCCAAGTGTTCTTAACTTTTTTAGCAAGTAAAAATTTACTTCTGAAATTATATATTAAAACCTGCAAAAGACTTACGAGGCACTTGACAACGATTTCAAATTGACTCATTTTGTTTTTGAGGTACATCAGAAATTTGAAGCCGTTCCGCGCGAATAGGATCGTTCCCGAACCCGTCAGACACACAGTAGAGATTTAATTTTACTAACCTCGTTTTCTCGGTTCGTACTGTAAGTTACGGATCCTCGTTTTTCCCCTTCGATTTATGGCCCGCGCGCTTCGCGCTTGGGCCATAAATTGATGGGGAAAAAACTCGGTCCGTAACTTCCAGTGCGGCCCTCGAACTCGGTTAGTAAGAGGTACTGACCGAAAATTTAACAGCCAAAAATGATATTTACCTCAGAAGAAGAATTCGTGAGGCCTTGTAAATTCTGTGCCAGTCCCCGACGCTCAATCGAGACTTTATATTTGAACTTCCGGCCCTACACGGGGATGTTTTAGCAAGTGACTTGGTTTACCCAATCTCACGTGACAAATAAATTCCCACCATTTTCACTTGAGAAAGAGGCTGTGACAGCGTCGAAAACCTGTGATCGCCAAAAAAACATTGAATCTGCTTCGGTATCTTGTTTCTTATTATTGGTCTAGTTTTGTTTTATAAAACATTCTGCACTTGTCTAGCACACTTAAACTACAAGCAGGGGCTGAAACTAAAAACAAGGGGTGTAATCGTGAGTTACACAAGGGCCAAATTTGATCGCAAATAGAAAAAGTCTTTCAGACGTCTCAACTTCTATCTGCGTTTTCCCGCGCCTAGCACCAGTCACGTGTTTCTGCTGCGAGTTCTCATTGGTTCACGACTTTAGCTATCTGCTTTCATTGACTGGCCAGCTTTGATTACGCTCAGCTGTGGTTTTGGTCTACAGTCATTAGAAAATCACGTAGGAAAGTTGATTTTCAAAGTAACAGGTTATTTAATTAATATTTTCGTGTCCTCTTTGCCACAGTCTATAATAAACATTCTGAAGCGTCATTTCAACAAACACAACTACTCCGCCATTCAGCAGGTGTTTCCAATTCTCAAGGCGTTCAATGCCATTCAACCTGATTTCTATGTCACACTACAGGTACGTTGATGAATAAGGTTTGTTGCAATGCCGCGTTGCATATTTGAGCTCAGTGAAATAAACGGGTCCTTTGTATCTGTGTATTTAGCTGGGTTCTGTAGGAACCGTACGGGCGATAACCGATCTTTTAGCCCCCAAGTCGATTAGCCCTTAACCGTTTAGCCCCCTACCAGAAGTCAATTAGCCCCTGACCAGAAGTCAAAAACACTGTCTGTTTCTCGTTCTTTAAGCGTGAATGGGGGCTAACCGACTTCTGGTTGGGGGCTAACCGGCTCCCCTCACTCCTCCCCCCCACCCACTTCCTTCCCTTCGTTTGGAAGGATAATGTGCCGCCATAAAAAGCCGGATTACTGAATTGTTTTGCTTTGAAATGTTGCTCTTGACTTTTCCGTTGTGATGTGCAGTGGAATTACCAAGAATTCTGAGGTTATGTAAGGTGGGATCTGTGAGCCTGATCCTTGTCAGTCTGTCCCGATCTGTAAAATGGTCGATCCTTAAGAACTTGAGCAGATGACGACTAGCCGCCGTCACAACTTTCGGAAGAGCTAGTGGTGTTCCTGATCGGACAATAAGAATCGGAACTCCTCGGGTTCTTTGCCATAAACGACACTTGTTTCACCGACTGAGTTCATTTATGAGTTCAAAGACTTCAAACGTTACCTTTCATCATTTGCTTGGAATTTTTTTATATTGTTAACAGGAAACATTTCACAGGACTCGGGGGCAGTTCCCTATACTCATTAACGCTATGGAGTTAACGGTGAGTCACTCCAGAAGAAACAGCCGTGATAGGCTAACATCCGTACCCGTTACTGGATTTGTCACGCAACACTTATCACCACAGGGATTCACAAATGATTTGTGACGCTTTGAATAGCAGAAATAGTATAGCGCGGGTGTGAAGTGCAAGTGAAAGAGGGACTTTTGTTACCAAGGGGGATAGGGTTTTGTTGAATGTTTTTAAATTGTATTTTCCCCTTGCTCTTTTTATGCATATGACGACGGTATTAAATTAATTAAACCGCCGGTAAACCTCTAACTTTTGTTGTATTATCTTCTCAGTCTGCCAAGGCTCTGGATGATTTCGCTGATGGGATAAAGGTGAACAAAAACTTTGTTCTAAAATTTTTCTTAAGATGGCTTTTGCTTCATGTCATCTCTACTCATTTTCCTTATGAACTGTTGCCCTGTTGATGCTTTCAACTAAGGACCTGTGTTTATAAAGAAAAATAGTCCCTGGTCGGTGGATGACTCTCAATACAAATCCACCACGGGAGAGGAAGCGTTTCTGACTTTTTCTTTGAAATATTTACTAAAGGAATCCCAAAATTAGCTCAACGGTAGAGTGACCCTGGGTTTTCAAGTAAGGATGACCCCCCTGGGGGGAGCCATTTGTGGGAGACATATACAGAGCATCTGCCGAACAAAGAGGGCCAATTTTTGGGTGGATCAGCAGGGACAAGGGGAGAGGGGATCCTTCTCATCAGGGACAACTTCTCAACATGTGAATAGGCCTTAAGATAGATGTTCTTTTCTTGTTGAAGGCGTGTCACTAGGGTCTTAGCACATCGCCTCTCTCTCATTTTGGATACTTATTCTTTTACAGCACGGTCCTGACAAGCATTCCAACATGCCAAGCGATGGAACAGTTCACGAGCTGACCAGAAACGTACGTTATTTGCAGGGTTTTTCATAATCACTCGGTAACAAAGCTCTATTGCTGCTATGGTCCGTATTGTGTGTGCTAAGACCTCTTTAAAACTGATGAAGAAATTTTGATTTAGTTTGTCGTTGGCTATCATGAAAGGGCTGCTGTCTATCGTGAATTAAATCTTTTTGTTGATGTTGTTCACTCTAGACACTTATTTTCATGGAGCAACTCCTACCCTACACTGAAACAGTTGGAAGCATGTTAGTCACCATGCAAGGTATGGAGTGAGAAGATCTTGGAAAAGAATTTTCCTTCAGGAAGAATTTGAGGCATTTTTCCCAGTCTGTCCTTAAACAAAGCCAATTAAAAGTAATTAACTAAATCTGGCAAATCACAGCAAACGTAGCGAATGCAATAAATCAATCAGAATTCGGAGTAATAACGCGCAGTCGTGCAGCTAGTGCCTAGCGCTGGAAAATCGGCGTGCGCTAGTCATGATTGTCGTGGTTTTGCTTCTGCTTCTGATTGGTTGAAAAGAAGACCACGAGGCAAATGACCGAAAACGGATGTGACCAAGTCGCGATTGGTTTTTGGATTTCCATCTGATTGGTTGGCGGGAGTTTCTTAAACCAATCACACTGACAGAGTGCATTAAAGCAGAACCAAACCGTTTCTGAATTACTTTCTACACTCTATTGAAAAGCGCTCTACATTTCCGTGCTTTTTGCGATTGTTCATTTGTAAATTTAACCGTCGTCAAAGTTAGCTTGTTTAGGTTTTGACCGTTTATTCCATTCCATACTGCAGAGGAGCAGAGTGGAAATTTCTTTACAAGAGAAACAGAACTCTTTACAAAAGTTGTTGCTGAGTACGTCCGTAAGTAGAGGATTTCTTCGTGAGTTTTGTTTCAGTTTTTCTGTTTTGCTCTGAATAAAGAAAATCGCTGATGTTTATTTGCTCGTCATGCAATATTTCTTCCGTTTCGGAGGAATGATTGTGTGACGAGGGAAGAATTTTAATCAATATCAATTTATGCTCTTACTATGCTTGTAAGGATAAAGGAAATTATCGAAGAAACGATATGGTCTAGATCTACCGCTAAAATTTCCATATCACTAGCAGAATAAATGTATGGTGATAGCATATACATTTCTGACCTTGAAGCTGAGAGGTTTAAATTCGACCTTCATTCAATCGCAACTTAAACCTAAAACCGATTTCTGCCGATTGTTTTTTCGTCCTAGCCTATAACTAAGCTCGTCCACAGCCTATTGTTGTGTGTGCAAAAACATATCGTTTACTCATGGTTATACCTCTCTAACGCAGAACGAGTGCTTGGAGCCTTGGGTCTGAATCTTGAGCTCAAGGCCAGAGTGTATGAGGCGCCAACTCTTTGTTCTCTGTTCTTGTTGAACAACTACAATTACATAGTCAAGGCTCTACAACGGTAAGACTGGAAAAATATTTGAATGTGATCATTTTTAGGTGAATTCAATTTTCATGTGGTTGAAAGGAGATGTTATTGAATATCACTTTAAGGAGGCTTACAATGCTCTGTCGCAGGTTAGGTCTTCTTGCTCTTCTTCAAGAAGGAGGAATCTCTGGAGTCGAAAAACAGTACCAGCAACTGATTGATGAACAGAAGACCACATATCAGAAATGGTATGACCGAACAACCGACCCATAGACCGACTGGCCGACTGCCTGACTGCCGGCCTGCTTGCTTGCTTGCGTGCTTGAGTGACCGACTGACTGACTGACTGACGGTCCGACTTACTGCTTGATTAGCTCACTGTCTGTCTGTCTGTCTGTCTGTTTGACTGACGGATGGACGGACGGGCGGACGGACCGACAGACTGATTGACTGACTAACTGATCGACTGACTGACTGACTGACTGACTGATTGACTGAACGACGTACTGACGGATGGATTAATTGACTGATTGATTTATTCACTGTCTGATTGATTCAGCTATTCATTTATTGAAATATAATTTTTGTTTAGCTGGGGAAAAGTACTCAACTTCTTATTGGAGATGGAGAAGCCAATGTCAGGGCATAGAGTTAACGAACCTCAAACAAAGGTAAGAAGAGGCGACATATGCTACAGCAATTCCTGACGTAGTCAAAGAAATTTAACTGTATGACAGAGAGAAACGACGGGCTGCGAAGTCCGAAGGACGGATTTCGATCAAGGTTAGAATATTGGGAAAATTACTTCTAGTAAGCGAAATGCTAGTTCCTGATCGAAAAGACGGCCTTCAGATGTCAATTATTTGTCAGTTGAACATAATATGGCCACATACTGAAAGACCTTAACAGAAATCTGTTAACTTTTTTTTGTTAGTGTGTTAAGTTGGTGTAAGGGTGGACGAGGAAGCGTTGTTTTACAACGTGTAAAGATTATTACTTGTAGTCTCGTTTTTGTCCATAACGAGTCATTTTGCCTTTGTTTTCTTTTTCAGCTGAAAGATAAGCAAAGGCAAATGATAAAAGACAAATTCAAGGTAAGGATGGAAAGTTACTGTAGCACCTGCAGCTTCGCCTGAACTTGACTTGTTTCGCTGATTCTTGCAACGTTTTTCAAGGCCGAGGAATCTTTACGCTTCGGCTAAATCGAAAATGTGCTGGAACCTCTGTTACCCAGAGAAAACGAATACTGGGTCTGTATAATGCCTAAAATAAACCCTCGGCTCTTATTTTCTGGTGGAATGTTTTGGCGAGGAGGGGAAGGTATATGTTTCAAAACTGTAGAAGAAATTTCGTGTTGGAGTAATTTAGGTGCAAACAGGAATATTGCATGGTAAAGATCTCTAGAACTCTACATTAGAGGGTATGGAGGAATTTGTATTACTTTAATCGTGGTTCAATAAGTATGGTTCGGCACTTACTATAGGCTCGATTTTCGTCGCTCCCTGCGTCCGGTCTTTGTTTCAACCCGAGAAGGAACAAAGGGGGAGGAGTGCGGGCTCGTTTCCCGAACAGCGGCTGGTAATCGAACCTACACTTCCTGTAAACTTGCTTTTTGTGTTTTTGTCTGGCAATAGAAAGGATAAAACACCAAAAGTAGTGAGAGTAACAAACTAGCAACTACAAAGAATAAATAAGTCAAATAAGGGCTGAAAGGTTTCAAATTGCATCAGAATGGAAAGTTTGATTTGACTTTCTGTCACAAAATCACGTGCAACGTTTTAATCTTCCACTTCTCGTTCTCTCCCCCGCCCCTCCAAATTATTTTTCTGTTTTGCTCTTTTTACCATTTTTATCTGTAAATTTGGTGGCATTTAGCAACATAAATGGGCCTAACTTCGGGGGTACTTTATTATCGGAGGGATTTTTGTATTTGACTTCTCGTAGGGGCGGGAAGGAGCTTGGAAATTGACGGTGTTTTGAAGACATCCTGAGCAAGTCTGCATAATTACTTTAGTGTCTTCGGTCTTCGTCATCTTTGTCACGTGTAGAGTTTGCACAACACATCCATTTATCTGGAGCATTCATGCATATTTATTCTTTTTCTTGAAGGGTTTTAACACAGAATTGGAAGAGCTGCATCAGATTCAGAAGACATACGCAGTCCCAGATACTCAACTTAGAGATCAGCTAAGAAATGAAAATATAGACCTCATTCTACCACTCTACACCACCTTCAGAGACAAGTAAGTGACAGCAACGAAATGCGAAAGGGTAAACTTTCGTTCAAAGATGAAATTCTAACCTGTTGATAGACAGTTGTTTACCTGTTAGTTGCTATTCGTTAGCGGTGAATCAATGTAACAGAGATAATTTCAAAAAGGCTGCCTACGCAAACTTAAGTTTACATGACGACGTTTCGAGTCGAAAAAAAAAAATACTCACTAGTGACAGCTATCGCTCTAGTAGAAAACGAGGATCAAGTCTTTTAAAATGATGCCTTAAAATGTCCAAAACCACTTGCTTCTCTTGTGATTCCACTTGAATTTTGAACACTAACACGTGTTGTTTATGTTGGATTTAAGAAAGAACACGTGCCCTCGTTCTCAACAAACAATAAACAAGGTTGTGTGTTGTTGATTATCGCATGATAAAGAGAATGAGCAGTTTAGTTATTTCACTGTAGCAGACTTTATAAATGATAGCGTCAAAACCGATAACCCTACTGTTAAAAGCCAAACATTAAGAATTTCGTGGTCGATCAAACTGGTTTAACAGCGATAATCAACGATGAGGGAACCAATCACAATCGAGAATTTCAATAGACTACAAGTGTCTTCTGAATATAAATCCTGGAAATTTTGACAATTTGTAAGATGTCTTTTTTTATCGCCTGAATTTTTGTTCCTTTATTTTCTTTTCCAGATATTCAAGTTTGCCATTTACGAAAAATCCCGAAAAATACATCAGATACACAGTGGAGGAAGTGGAAGCCATGCTGAAATCTTTCTTTGACGTCTCGGCTTGATGATTATGAATTTGTTTAGTTTGTTTGTATTTTTTTTTTCTATTCAGATCCACTATATAGAGAAACAAATATCCCTCTATTTGGTAAACGTCGATTTTTCAAGATGTAATGACATTTTTGTTGTTGAAAATCGACGACCGAGGTGATAGTGCCCACAGTAGATCACATGCAGCGTAACATTGGCAACGGGCACTAAACCCATTCACGCCAAAATTCTGAAATGGCACGGAAATTTCCTTAGAATAAAGTCATCGAAAAATTCAAAATATTGTTGAATTTTCCGAAATATAAACCACTGAACCGAAAACTGCGGTTGGAAAATATAATGGCACGGAGATTGCCGGTGAGAAATTTTAACGGAGAATTTGGGTAGACCNAGACGATCGATGTACTAACGGGCATAAGATAAGAAGGAAAGGAATATAACATTATCTTGCAGTTTAAATAAAGGAAATTTTGCTTTACTTTTATGTATATTGCGTGTTTTTTTTTTTTTTTTTTTTTTTCTTGGTCAAATGGAAAGCCCCCGTTGTATTGGTTTTGTAAGGTCCTCAGCCAATCGGAGGCCAGCAAAGGCACGTGCAATTTGCATTCTCAGCCGCTCTGGTGTACCCTGGACTTTGAGTTGATTGGCTGTGCGACTGGAAAACCAACAAAAATATAGCAATAATCCATAGCAGTTTTAAAAGGAAGAAAAATTTCCGTAATTTTTTCCCCGTTGTGGTATTAAATTAAGCCTAGAAGATTTTTTGGTACTTTATAACTATAACTAAGGTTTGTTACTTCGATTTGCCATTTAAAAGAATGTAAGGGAAATTAAAACAAATTATTGCGGAGAGGTATGTAACAAAGTAACACAACTCTTTACGCATGTTTACGTGGTAGCAGTTTTATTGTTTAAAATACAATCCCTGTTCTCTTGATTAAAGAAAGATGTCTTCCTGTTCATCAAACATACTGAAGAAGTTGCTGCAACCTTCACTTTCATTACTCACGAGAAATCTAAAAAAAAAAAAAAAAAAAAAAAACAAGAATGAAAATACGTAAAAATACCGAAATTGTCAGTTTCTCTTGCGGAAATCACAAGATGAAATATAATGACAGGGGCAGTTATCTATTTCACTCTTGTTGAATCAAAGCCTTCCGGCCTGGGCGAATTGTGTTTTTCGTACTGTAGCAAGACATTTCAAGGGCATTTAATTCATCACTCCATATTTCCTGGCACAACTTCCACCCCTGTGGCCGACTGGGGCCGAGTACAATTCGTGCACTGAGTGGACAGAAGCATCGTTGTTTACAAAATTTGCCTCATTAGAAATAAGCGCTTGAGTCAAAGATCGAACTACAAAAATATCAATTCTGAGTACTGAAAAGGCATAGCACGATTCACTTTCCCCAGAAATTTAAGCGATGTGCTAAATACTATCTGTGTGAAGTGGATTTAAGAACAGTCTTTGCCAATCAACTTTTGGCTCATTAGCGTTTTCGCTACATTAAAATCTGGGTAGGTCAACATCCTCTTTAATATTTAACCCAAAGAACCAAAGAATCCATCAAGTTGCGCAAGCTTTTATAATTGTTTGCAGACAATTCAGAATTTGCATGAAGATTACTCAGCGAAAAGTCGTATGAGACAAACTGTAAACAACAGCAACCTTTGCTCTATGTGATCCTATTTGGAGGGAGAAAGCATATTCAGATGGTAAACAGGAGTTGTGTGAGAGAGATATGTAACAGAAAGAAATCATTTTACTTGACTAGGGAAAGCGGGTCCTTTCTCAAATTTCCACGTACCACGCTTTCTGAAATCCTAGTCTCACGAAGTGCTTTAATACCGAAAGGAACGTAGTTTAACTGTATTTCACCTGGAATCGTAGCTGTTCTTTTCCTCCTTGTTTTTCTGAGAAATTTTCCTTTTCTTGTCCGCTCTCCATTTGAACATCCCAGACACCGTGTTACTTTTCTAGAAATGGAAGATCAGTATTGTCAGATTTCTGAACAGAAGAAGAAGTTTGCAGACCAAGAGGGTGACGGCACAGCCTAAACCAAATTTCTGAAATGTGTTCCCCTTTCGAGAAGGGCTACCTTTTCCGGTAGTTGCTTAACATTGTTTCTTCTCAGGTAACCTAGAGGATCTATTTTCCTACGCCTAATTAATTACAAGCACTGATTGCAGTGAACGTGAATGCTTACCAACTGTACAACATAACCCTGAATTCAGACTTGCAAGCAAAACAAATGAGCCTGGCCCCGCCTAGAGAAGCCCCCCTCCCCGTCTACCCCACCCTTAGGTACCTTTTCATCCTGCACTTCCTTGTCCAGTTTTTGTAGCCACTCCTTGTGGTTAAAATACACAGAAGCGCTCGTTATGACCTCGCTGTCAGCCTCGGAGATATCTCCAGGTTCTATTAAAAGTTGTTCAGCGTTTATCTCCCCAAATAGATTGATAAGTTCGTTTTGATGGTTTCTTTCGTTGCCAGTGTGAGACTCCTTCCAAGCTTTGTTGTCTTCCATCTTTGAAGCGCCAGAGACACAAACCGAGTTACATTTATCATTTGCTGAACTTGCAGTTTGGTTTTGTTTTCCATTGTTGTAACGTCTGTTGGCATATGTTCTAAGAGGTGAGCATTTAGGTGGTTTATCAAAAGCATCTTCTTTGTTCGCCGCTGGTGTGTCAAGCTTAGCTTAAACATGTTAAAATAAATATGAAACAAATTAGATTTTTTTATATTTATTTATTGTTATTTTTTTTCTTGAGGGATGCTGCATTCATGAATCTCCCAGTCATGAAAAAAATGAAGAAAGTTTTGTTCTGTATAAGCTTGAAACTAGTTTAAACGGTCGGTGGATTTGGCGACGGTATGTTGGCAGCTTCTTTGAAGCCGCTCAAAATTGAGACAGTTTGGAAACTGTGCCATTGATATTCAAGAACCTAGCCTCTAATAGTTCCTTCCTGTCCATTTTGATGAGAGACTCGTCCTAAGAATGAGTAAGAACTAGGTTGAATACCGAGTATTTTATGCGAAGAGGGGAGGGGTTAGGATGTTTGAAATTATCACAACGTCTCTCGGCCAGGGTTTTGTTCTCAATGAGATCCAGTTCTATATTTAAACGGAGGAGTTATTCCCCTTTTGTTCGAAAATATCAATGGTAAAAATCGATTAATAGCCGTTGTTATCTTGCTGAAAACCAAAACGTGAAGTTAAATTTGTCTTTGGAAGTGGTAATGTTCCCCATTTTTTCTTTTAAGCTAAAACTAAAAGAGATATTAATTCCCTAAGGGAATAACACAACACCATCCGATGTTTGTCCCCTCATAAAAAAAAGACAAAGTTTTACCTTCATTAAACGGGGCTTCATTCAGATGCTTGGTGATCTTGAACTCGCCTTTGGCTTTTTTCGTTTCAGTAGTAAACCGGTTTCTCCAAGCTTGAAGCAGTTTCGCTTTGATCTGTCGTTCCTCTAGGAATGGAAATTTATTGGCGAACTTCGAATAGTTTTCGGTAGAAAATATCTTGAAAGAGATTTTGGATTTGCTTCTTTTACGAGGCATTTTGATGAAACAGCCCTAGAATACATGAAAGTACGTTGAAAAGGCAATGACTTGAGCAACGGTAAAATTATGCAAATGTACTTGGTAACCACTCTTTCGTTCCGTCGCTGATGACTTTCCGTCAGGCCACACCCGCATGGAGACGAGTAGGGTTGGGCAGGAAAATTTCACCTCAAGCATTTGTAAAGATCCTCCAATATTTTACGTACTGCCCAGTTTTCATTGTTCAAGTCACAGCGGAATAATATGTTCGAATAATCTAACCAATACGTTGTGACATTGACTGCAATCTTTGCATGTATGTGGTACCATCAGCGTGGAAGGGGGAGGGGGTAGGGGGAGGGGCGATAGGTTTGTCTTATCAGTGTCTTCAACAATGAGAGGGGTGGGGGTACTTAAATTACCACGGCCAAGCTTAATTCTTTTTAACACCTCCAGGATTTAACTTGCCTTCCCCAAAAATACCGCAGCCTTTTAAAGCCTCCCAGAAAAGGTGCACACTTCCCCCCCCCCTCTCATAAGAAGTTTAAAGCAGACTCCTTTGGCCAGAGCCTCCTTTTCCATATTCACCCTTGTTCCCCCTGCCTCCCCCTCCCCCCGCCCCGCCCTCCATCCGCCCCACCGATTAACACCAAAAAACCCAGAGGTGAACGTTCATCCCAAAAAGAAACCGAACGCATGATCTCCGATTTTAATCGACGTTTTTGATCACCGATTCTATACCCACACCCCTCAGGCGAAAATATTACCTGAAATTTGCCCCCTTTCAGATAATTCTCTGTTATATTCCATGACATATTTGGAATTTTAGGTCCACATTTCTGTCCAATGGCTTTCGTTTGCTAGCCAGCTGTTACCAAGTGTTTTAGAGAATGTATATATATCAAGACCATCACCTGCGTAATCTGTTTTTTCTCTGAACAAAACCAAACATTGTGAGTAAAATAATGGAATATCATGCGGGATTAATTCGGTCAAGACATAATCCTGTTTAATAGTGAAACCTGGCACGAATGGTTTACGTGTTCATCCAACCTGCCCGGACTTATTTATGTATCCCAAGATTTTTACTGATCCAGGTCTACAAAACTTCTGCCCTCGATCCTCAGAGGACGGGCATACAAAACCTAAACACAAAGAAAACAACATTGTGACATCGGAAGCAGCAGTCTCTCTTCAGAACCGGAAAAAAAATTGTATGGCTGTACTCGTTCAAATTTTAAACAAACCGAGGTTTTAGTGAAAGAATTACCACACACGACGAGGCCCAAGCTTTCTGCACCTTTTTATGCATGCCTGTCGTCTTCAGCTGATCCAGTGTGAATGATAATTTTTAATTTGCTTCCCGGTGAGGGCGCTAATTCAAACAGCAAATATTTTCAAAATATTGTAACATGATTAACAACATCACGAACATTAAATGGCCTTGTTATAAATTGTCTGCGCGCTTCTTTTGTTGCTATTGTTCCAACTTACTTGGAAAAAGACAAACATAAATATGCAAAAAGTGAACTTTCGACCGCAAGCTACGCAATATCGCTAAGGTATTTCCTTGTTTTATGCGTCATTTCCGCTGTTTTGTTAGCGATTATTAACAAATTCATTGAGGGGGAAAAGTTAAAAAACAAATGCAGTGACACAGTTTACGGAACTTTTCACTTTCATATCGCGTGACCTGTTGATTAAAAATGTACTTAACACGTGTACTTACGCAACCCAACAAACAATTTGACACTGGAGTTGCAACGATTGCAGCGAAGAACCATTGAAAAAATGACGCGGAATAATTTCACAGCGACCAGATATCGAGTAACTTATTTCTTGAGATCAATTTTGCGAAAAACGGTGGATCAGAAGTTTTGTTTTGACTGGCACTCGCTCTAGCGCGAACTTGCTCTCGGTTTGAATTTTCTCCCTCTCTAATTTCCGTTTCTATGGCAATGTCACATCAGACCACTTTTCTAAAATTATTGACCAATGAACTCGATTGTTTTGCAGTGACGTCATGTTATGACACGTGATTTCCAAGCAAAAACACACTTGGTGTGTTCTCGTTATTTCGCCTCGCCGATAAACGAAAGCGAGTTGCGAGTGGGTTATTTTTTGGCCTTTCTTGTGTCGAGATGGACGCGTTAAAAGAGCAAGCCATGATAAATCAGTTCGTAATGGCTGCTGGGTGTGCCAGAGACCAAGCTAAGCAGCTTTTACAAGCCGCACATTGGCAGTTTGAGGTAGTGAAGTTATTGTTTTGATTTCGACGTGATGTCGAAGCGGCTTGGCACATCGTACAAGCTGATTTGTTCTTTGGAATTTATCCTCGTGATAGTTACCTGTGTTCGTTTTTTTTTCTTTCTCTAGACTGCTTTGAGTTTGTTTTTCCAAGAGGCAGCGATTCCTTCCCATAATCAGCACAACGCGGTAAGTGTACTTTGAGTGCACGTCCAAAGCAATATTTTCATGTTGATTTCGTTGATGACCTTAAATTCAAGACGTTTTCATTCCTCCTTTCAGCTCGTAACGCCAGCGAACACACCGGCTACACCGCCAAACTTTCCCGACGCTCTGGCAGCTTTCTCAAAACTTCAAGCCTCCGATACGAGCCCCAAACCACAGACTTTGAACGCAAATCATCAACCCGTGAGATGAATTCTTAGCGCAATGTTGTTGTCAGCTTGCACTATCCGTCCGTTTGTATTTGTATAATTCCGCCGTATCTTTCTTCAACGCAGCATTACTGGAACCTTTTTATAATAATACGTTAAGAGGACAGAATTAGAGGATTTACTTCGAACAGTAAGCTTCGAGTCAAGATATGGAAAAGGAAGAGGAATATTGGTAAAAACCGTGTGGAAAGTGCCGGTCACTGTCCGGCATTATATTCAGGAAAACTGTTTAAATGGGAATATTGATGTGTGTTGATGTTAATGAGCAAAATCAGTGAGACTTTGGAGAGACTCGCCCTTAAACTTAAATATCATTGTGGTTCCCGAAGAACTTAGTGCAAGTGTTAAAACCTCAGATAATTTGGGTACGTTGACAATCGCCATGTTTGATAGTAGTGAAATAGAAACTTATCGCCTTGCGAAACTGGCGTGCATTCTTTGTCTTCATGTATAATTTATGAATGTCGAAAGGGAAATATCAAACTGCTAATGCGAGCTTTCTTCGGTTTTCCGACGGTTTTTGGAAATTGGTTTTACAAAATTGATGAGGCTATAATTACAATCTAATTTTAAAGATTGATAGTAAAGTTTAGAGAGCAGTACCTGTGTGGAACTTGTCTTGCTCCGAAGCTTACATCATACGCGGTAATCCTTGTTTTATATTTGTACATGGCTGTTTTGTTTCGATTTATGTCTAGTTGTTGTTGTTTTGATGAGCCTTTATTCGCCTTGAATGCTTTATCGAAGGATCGAAACACTGATAAACTAATCATTTTGACAAATTATTGTTATGAAGGTTCGTTTGCGCGCGTGAATTGCATGCTACTGTTAAATTTCTCATTGTTCCGGTTTTCTACAGCTCAAGGCAAAGGGAGGCTTTTGATTTCCGGACTTTGGAATGCCATCTCGTTTAGCCGAACCACAAGAATACAATGTGCTTTTTAACAATTTTTTTTCTCTTTTTTTTTTTTTGTGCGCTCGAAATGACAGGTGTGCATCAAGGTTTCCCAAGAGTTATTGAATGCATGCTTCGAAAGCAAGACTGCATTTTTCGCAGTCTCATATTCACATGTCAACTGCCGCGTTCTTTTAATGACTGGCCCTCAGTGGGCAAAGTCAAGGTCAGACTTCCTGTCTATTGTAAACCATTTTCTCTGTAATATCAGTGTTATCTGATCTTTATGCCCCGGATTTTTGGCCACGTTTCCAATACTTCTTAGCGGAGCCAACCAACTGCTTGAAAATGTGAATTTCACTTGAGTCATGTCATCATTTTCACCCCAAGTTCAAAAGTGCAATTCTCCTCACTGAGTTGTAATAATTTCCTTAAATATACGTTCTGAAAATTTGCTGTTGCGTGTCAAGATCTCCAAAGCATTTTAAACGTTAATATCCCTCAGTTCATGTCACTTATCTTCGCTACAACACACATATTTCTAATAATTCTCAGAAAAATATATCCAACTTTATTTTCTTGTTGATTACTGCCTGATTACACAGGTAGCAATAAGATGAGCGATCACTTTATTAGGAAACTGCAAGTGAACTTGCACAATTGACATATCATAGGCCTGTGTAGACTTGGTTTGATAGCAGCAAACAATTTTCAAAAGAGTACTGTTACACAGTTTCAACATCACATGCTTTATAATCCATTTGACATGCTAATGCGGAGATAACGTGCTCCCTCAAATAATAGTTGGAGGTGGCTGTTTTTTAGTGTTTACACAAAGAGTTGGTGATTATTTATGAAAAGCAATCATTCAAGGCAATAGTTTAGATTATTGCTTGGAAACAAGGGTAGAGAACTGACATGTGGCTCTGGCATTTTCTTTTCTGTTGAAAAGAATAAGAACATATGTGTACTATGTGTGATCTTGGAATTGAAATATTATTTTGAGCAGTTATTTTATGAAAGAGATGACATAATTCCCTAACTTATAAACACAGTCTTAGAGACACTTGTGACAGTGTGGGAGATAAGCTGTGGAGTCACAACTGCCCACTAGTTTTGCTTGCACAGTTTTGTTTTTCTGACGCAAGCATTTACATATGTTGCTATAACTGCTTGCCCATTGATAATTGTGCTCACAGAACAAAAGAACAATAAAATAAAACTCCCACCAGTTAAAAAGTTACACTGACCTTAACATTGATAGCATTGTTTGTTTAAAAAAAATAGCAAATCATTTGACTGTTTTTCCTAAAATTATGCTGGTTAAACATTTAGACCTTTCGTATAGAAATGTAAATGTTAGAGCGCTGTAAGATGTAGCAGACTGCAGATTGAGAGGCCCACGCATATCTTAGTCATTATCTGTCCTTATTGTGCCATGGGTTGCATGAGGCCTTAATGCATATCAAAACATGCATCAAAATCTTATGAATCCAGAATTTATTAAGAGATAAATTTCCAATGCTTCTAACAATATTATAAATAATGTCTCTCAGGATGGCTCCAATTGGGTTGTGAAAACATCAGTCACCAACAGCAGGACTCAACCCTAACCCTAATGTGTTATCTGGACTACAACAGAATACAAACTAGAGCCAGGAAAATGTTAGAAAATTAAAATTTATCAGTTACAAGAACTACTTGTTACAGTGGAGCAGTAAACCAGCACACTTGATTTTATTGCTGTATTCCTGAAGTAAGCATCTGGTCATAGGAACTGATCATGAAATTTCATATTTTTCAAGTCAAGATTCACTGCTTAACAGAATTGCAAAATCACACAAAACATCATTATTAGTAGTAGTAGTAGTAGTATCATCAGCTGTTGCATATAGAATCAGTGCAGGGGTCTGTTCAATTTCTTTTAGTAACACATACTTTGACAAAACTTAAAATAATTAAATCAATTAAATACGTAATTAATTTCTGAGCTAAGTGATTAGCTGATTAATTATTCAATCAACTAAGTGAGGTAGAGATTACTGGTTACATTAGTCAGATCTGTGATGGTTTTTGAGAAAACAAATGGAAATCTTTTTAACTGAAAGGCACTATTAGGGGTTTTTTGGGAGGCAAAAAATTAATGGAATACAGGATATTTGTAGGAAAATAAATGGGATATAATTGGAATTAAAGGGATAAAGGGTGTAGGGGGTGTGCACCCACCACCCCCAACCCCCTCCCTGAGATGAAGCCTTCTTCATATTCACTGTTAATAATTGTTTACCTCACCCATCAGTTATGCCATTTCTTAATGGTGCACCCCTCCTAAGAGAAATCCTGGATCTGCCCATGGGATGTGGGATGTTTAGGCCAAAAGATGATGGATACTCAGATCCCCCATAATAGGGTCTCAATTGAGCTCTCATTGAATAAGTTATCCATGGTAGTCCATTCCTGGTCAAACTCAAAAAAGCTCCACTAGCAGAACCTTTCTTGGTTCAATGAGAAAACCAAGGCTTTTTCCCTATACTGCTTAGAATGGTCATGATGAGTCGAGACTAAATTTTTGCGGTTTCAACTTCTAAATCGGGGTATGAAACTGGCCTAATGTCTTACCATTAAAATGGCAGCTATTGTGGAGTTTTTTTTTTATGTTCTTCTGTTTTTCAAAATTAAGAAAAAAGATTTTAGCTCTTTCCTTTTTTATGTTTACTACTCTAGGACTCTGGAGAGTAAAAGGGTTCCCATTTCCTGGTACTAATCAGGGAGGTAGTTCTTTTGTAGTGGGAGTATAGGCTTTCTATAATACAATGATGCAAGGGACCGCAAGCGAAAATGCTACCGGAATACGTAGGATCTGTAAAAGATCTAATCAGCCAAAAATAGAAACATAACATTGAAGCAAGGCTGATTACTACGTGGAAGGTTAACGGGACAACGACATCATAGAGTCCAAACTGAAACGGCCAAGAACTGCAACCGTGGATAGCTGTTTCGACCTGGTTAGGTCTCGTCAGCACGGTGTAGCAGCAAATAGTAAACCAACCGGCTTGTGGACCGATTGTCTACTTAATGCACATGGTAATAACCTCAGATGAAACTCAAATCCAACTGTTTGCGGATTGGTCAATGTCATACGCAAAACGCGTGTTCTTGAACAATAAGCAAAACCCGGAATATCATATCGTTGTCTACATGCAAGACAAGCCTAAATAGCATATTGAATATACAACGGGTGCCCTGTTGCCTTCCCAGTAATGTTGCAAAATGATATTTTTCTTGTCACCTGAATCAGGTAAACCCTGTAGCTAGCCCATGCTGCACTTGAGTCAGCTGCTATCATGCCTGATTGTTAAGACCGGTGAAGTGGTTTGGGCATGGCTGGACCAGGTGTTCCTCAAAATCCCCACACTATTTCAACTTTCTGTACTCCTTGCAAGACCAAATATCGGTTTTACTACAACTTCTCACAGCTTTACAAAATTGCCTTCTTTCGTAGGATTTTATTACATTCAGCATAGGAAAACGACAAAGAAAAGGCGTCTTAGAAATTCTGAAAGGTTATCATGAGAGTGTGGGTCATTGGAATTTCAGGAACTGGAACGGCGCAACGTTCCTAATAGACAAGCAGGTTTCATTTTGTCATATGTTATCTAAAGAAAAGCACCAATTTTCTCCAAAACTTTCTTTTTCGCCATAAATCGGTCTAATTGACCATTCTTAGTCTCTAACGAGCAAAATTTGGCTCGATGAAGGAATTCATACATAATTCATACCCTTTGAATACCAACTACGCATTTTTGCGTAATTAATGGTCGTGCTCTTTGTACCACTTGTGACGTCATCAATTTAAATGTCATCAGATATTCTTGATAAGCAGATAGTAGTGCTAGGCTAGGCCTTTCCGCACAATGGTCAGGTTTAGATATCGACGACATTCCGACGTCGCAAATCGAAAAACAACGTTATCAGTTTTGGTGCAAAAACGGTGTTAAATGGTCCACTACGCCTATGATTGATCAAGGTCCATTTGCTTCGTCCGTAATTAACATCCAACTTTTCACGGCAGCCAGAAAGAACATACAATTCAAAAGGTAGCCAGTGTAAAAGGGCCGAGAAAAACAGAAAGGAAAGGGGCAACAAACAAAATTGAGAACGGTTAATGGCAAAAAACAAAACAAAACAAAACAGAAAGTCCAAACTTTGGCTTCTGCGCATGCCCGGAATTGAAATTTTGCTCACTTTTGTACTTAATCCTCGGAAAATCTCTCCTTTTAGTAAAAAAAGCTTTCTTAGCCAAACTTAGGCTTATTCAGCGTCATGGCAGCTAAAAAACCTGACTAAACGGTTAAAAACGGTATTTTTTGGCGAAAGTTTGGTATTCAGAGGGCTAAACACGCTCAACAGTTAAAAATTACTCTCAAGGAAAGAGCAACTCAATCTGTGAGTTGGTGTTCACGATGTATTATTCGTCTCGCAAGTCTTAGCTACAATCATCACTGAGAGGAAAAAACGCTTTAAGATAGACGCCTGCGTTTTCCGCAGTTTTAAACCTCTCATAAAAGTTTATTGCAGCTTTGTTAGTTCGATCTGGTGTTATGCTATTTGTCATTGGTCTGTTATCACTTTTACCCAGTAGTGTCTCGAAACCTGATTTTGCATTTGATCATTAGAGGATAAATGTAGACGACTACGTCTAAAATAGTTTAAGTACCCGTCCTAGTGTAAAATAGTTTAAGACGCGTGTCATGAAACCAGATAAGTTAATTCACTTGTTGCAGGTGACTGGCGTGAAAACGGCCACTCTTCTGAGAGTGTGTGGATGGGGTGCAGGTGTTAAATTTTATGGTGATTCCTCAGCTATCACTTCAGCGCATATCTCTGCAAATCTTAGATGTCACTCCGTTAACAGAAAACTCGTCATTTCACAGCTGACAGTTGACATTTTGACCATTACTATCAGCTAAACCTGTAGCTCGTCTGAGGCAACAGGAGCCAGTGATGGGTGCAAAGCTCAAGATACTCGTTATCTATCTTTTAGCCGTCTCATGTCTGGCCTTAACTTCGAGTGAACTCTTAACCCATACCTTGTCATAAATTATCATTGAAAAGTAAGATTTCGAGCCACGTCCTTAAAGCTTACTCGCAAAGGCCATGTTTAGGCCTTTTTACAGAGTCAGTGAGGCCAAATTGAACATTTTAGGGTAATATGTACCATCCTCTTACCTACAATATATTTTAGCCTAAAGAAGAACGGGCGATTCCTTCGGGGACGGCGGAACCGGGAGGGGGAGCTGGGGGCTTGGGGGGCTGGGGGGCTTTAGCCCCCCAATTGCAAGCAATAAAGACGTAAAATAATAATTTTACAAATATCTCCAGACCCCCTACAAGTTAGCGCCTCTGGCGCTCGCTTGTAAGCCCCCCAATTCAAAATACGCTAGTTGCAGTGGATTTTCTGCCTCCTTCGTGTTGACCGCTTCGCTTTTGTGTACCATTTATCGGTTTTAAGATACTTCATTTTTATTATCCCAGCTTTCAGTTGCCAAGGTAGGTTTTTTCTTTTATAGTCTTTATAGCTTCTTTTGAGATGCGGTACGTTATCTGTTTGCATGTATCGAAAATCTATCTTCGTATCCTTCGTAATTTTGTATTTAAGCTTGTGCTTAATTGCATGTCTGTTTTCATTTGTCGAAAATCCAGCTTTCTAATTTCGTGTGGGCTTTGAAAATGTTGATTTCAGTTGTATTGTTTTTTGATAGCTTTCTTTCATTCTTCCTTCAGGTGTCCATGGGAGGCGCGGTGGCCTCATGGTCAGTGCGCTCGTCTCCGGATCGAGCGGGGTTCGAGCCCTGGCCGGAGACATTGTGTTGTGTTCTTGGACAAGACACTTTACTCTCACAGTGCCTCTCTCCACCCAGGTGTATAAATGGGTACCGGCGAACTTAATGCTGGGGGTAACCCTGCGATGGACTAGCATCCCATCCAGGAGTGAGTAGAAATACTCCTAGTCGCTTCATGCTACAGAAACCGGGATAAGCTCCGGCCTGATGGGCCACCTGGCTCGTATGCAGATTTTACCTTTACCTTTGCCTTCAGGTGTCCATATCGGGAGTTATTTCGCTCTCACAAGCCACATATGAAGGCTCGGCTTGTGGTTAGTGTAGGTTGCACAGGGGATAGTACGCTTTCGTAAGCTAACATTTATCGGCCTGAATGTTTGACGCGGTTTACCCCATACAGCGAAAGGAATGATGGCAAACGAATGATGTGGAGGAAACTCTAAAGCCTACAATTTTTGATGTCATTGATCCGACCGTCATCTTCAATTCTGCGAATTAGAGCATGCATGAAATGGACACGCACCCCAACTAAACGTAAACGCTTTAAACGTAAACCCTATCTAAAATTACTTGTGAGTGGCTTCCAGAATAACTAGCTTGTTTGTTTCAACAACCTTCTAGGTAAAACACTTGTCACTCAAAACAAATATTGTAGAGAGATAAGAATACTACCGGTACTCCAAATAACTAAAATACTATTTTCTAATTAAAATTTCTCAAATTACTCCAATTGTGATTGCACAAATGTTGTGTTTTAAAATGAGTTAAAAAAAACTTGCCTTTGAAAAGTGTTTAATAGAGTTGACAAGGTTGAGTGCTTTAATAAGGTCGACCAGGGTCAATTCATGCCTCTCAATTTCGTGCTTTCAGCATCTGGTATCTTTAACAGGTCTTATCAACTTCAATGCAACACAAAGAGGAAAACAGAGACAGCTGACAACATCTCACTCAAAACCCTACCGTGACGATCAAAATACAAAACTATAATCTGATAATTTCCAGTTCAAATGCATTTCTTTCTTTGTAAGACTCGGCCTTTCTCGTGCCAACACTTTCCGGCCTGCAGATTTAATCAATGAATATCCCCTCTCTCTTATCTCATAGTCTCATGGGTAAAACAAGAAATAAATGAACATTGTGGGTTCACCCTTCCCTTCAAAACTTCTCCTAATTTATAGCACATTAATATTTACTACATGTTATTTTTAGAACTACTCGGATTAAATCGGTAGCCAAGGATTTTATGTAGCACGATATTTTTATTTCGCATATAATAAACCAAAGACCTTCATTGATGTAAAAAAAGCTCCCTTCCTCTAAAGGTCTTTCACAACTGAAAATATTTCTCGTCAAAAAAGGGCGCAACACTGCGACAACGGTACAGAGCGACGTAATAAGCCGTGCTAACGGACTCGCGTAAGCAGACTACCTATTGTCTAAACACACCAACAACGCGTAAACGGGAAAAGGGTAGGGATCGGGTGGCAAAAAAACACGGAGAAGAAGGGGATTGAACAGCACCCTATCCCGATAAAGAAGCCCTTTTCCAATAAACAGCGCAGTTTTATATCCTCAACCGGTAAAATTCAAAAAAAGCAAAAAGAACGCTACGCACACACAAGTACGCAGTGCGGACCTATTTTTCGAGTTATGTTTTGTGTCAGAAAAAAGGGGAGAGAGAACGTTTTTGGACCGCCAGTAGATAGGATGATGGTTCAATTTCCCAGATAGGATTTCCTCATACCAGAGAGTCTATTTCGCTCACATATGAGATTAATTTTTTGTGGGTTTAAAGTAATTTTTGCGATTTGACGCAAACTAAACCTCGTCAGTGTCTCGTAAAGAAGGGCTTATTATTACCTAGTAAAATCAGTTCGCTTATGAAATTGTCGGTCGCTTTTTTCGTCAGAACTGACGTTTCGAGTTTTATTGAAAAAAGCTATTGACGAATTTAAAGAATTCAAAATACTGAAAATAATTCAAAACAGCATGATCATACATTTTCCAGAACCGATTATTTTAGCACAGAGTTTTGCTCCGAGCTGGCCTATATTAAGACTGTTAGAAAATCGACAAAACATTTGCAATTACTTCAATTTAAATATTTCTGATTTAGGTATCCTTAACTTGTCTCAAACCTTCCAGAATCGATTCTAGAACTTTACTTTCACAACAAGGTTTTTAGCCTCGGGTCTTTTAGCTAATAGTTTGATACTCTCTTTATTCCGGCGACGATGGAAATTCAAAACAACAATAGTATTTAAAGTGGTCGTTTTAGATTTCGTGGAAGGGTCGTCGTAGAACACATGTTAACTTTCATTTACACGATTTATCAAGGTGATAGTGGCCAGAATTATCATATAAAACTCCGCCGGAAAATATGGGACTTTTATAAAGTTTATATTTTATTCCATTGAATCTGTGTGCGGATAGAATCTAATCTTCTTAATAAAACGCCTTCAAAAATTCTCATATCTATGCAAGGCATTTGACCTGTATGGCATTTAGGTATTAAATGAATACAATCCAGCAACGTTAGTAGGCGCTCCATTTCGATCAAAATCTGTTTTCTTCTTAAGAAATCAGTACAAAATCAGGCACGTGGGTCAGGAGGGAATAAAGTTTGATCTCTTTATTAGACTAAAAGGAGACGTATTGAGACTTGTTAGAAGAACGTGTATGCTACAAAATGTTCCAATCTGCGTTTCCTCTTAGATGAAGATTAAAAAATAAAAACAGTGCTCACAAACATGGGCTTTTTCCAGAAGAAAGCTGTAGAAAAAATAACCATTACACAAGTGAATAACGAAGTAACGTCACAATACAATTTAAAACATTTGCCACCTCGTTGTGACCTCTAGTATTAAACCAATCACAAGTTTGCATTTCCATCGACCGTGACACGTTTTTGTGATAAAAGAGTGTTTTGATTAGCTCAAGCGAAAATCAATTTACATTTCTGTCGTGGTTGGCTATTGTATGCATATATTTCGTGGGCGATCGGTGTTTTGTATATTTTGCCGTTGAATTTCGTAATTCGCCGCGAGGCCAAGTCTGAGAAAGCGACTTTTTTGCGCCGTCGTGGATCGAGGTTCGGTCCCTTGTTGCAGGAACGTGTTCTTTCTTACAGAGTTCTGTGGAGTGTTGAGCGTTCGCTCCTGGTTCGATCAGGAGCCATAGATAATCAAGATTCCTGTTCCTTGCCTTTGAAAGGATTACATGTAAGTACAACTGAACGAGTCGCAGGTACTACTAAACTACTGTCCATTTCGATTTCTGTTCGCTTTACAGATATACAAAGACATTAACGTTATAGCCATCATCGTCATCTCGATTATAGTTCTCGCCAGGGACTTTCGACTTTCCTTAACGATTTAAACGAATATAAACTTAATCAACCGACCCCGGCCCAAACACAATTATTTTTCTTACTCGAGGTCAATTACATGTTACATTCTAACCAGGACTCATTTCTTTCGTTTCTTCAAGTGGGTAATTCATATTTCAACGACTTTGGGATATAAACAGTTTCTCGAAGTTACGCAGTTTATGGTTTAGTGAATGGTAATACATCAGATCTTTCGTGGTTTTGCCGGACGATCTTTTCACGATTTGTTCGAGAAGACAAAAGATTTCGTGCAGGCTGGATTTCTTTTGAGGCTGTAGTTTATTCAATTCGGAAGAAACTTTTATCTGTACTTTTCTACCCCCGATGAAAAGTTCACCCAAGATTTACGTATCAGGGGAGAAATATTGTTCCCGTGCGTGGATGTATTTGGATAAACTCAGCCGTCGTAGATGAAAAGTGTTTCTGTTTAGATAACAATGTGGAATTGGTTTTTGGTCTGCTATGAAAATGTGGTTTGTTTGAAGAATGGTGTAAATAGTAGCTGTGAAATGGTTTACCACGAGTCATGCAATTTTTTGCTCCAACCCTGAAATGTTGTTGTGGATATTGTCGATTAGCGGACGAGTGGAATGTTCAAATAGATATGAAATCAGCATGCAAAATGCGTTCGTGCAGTCCTTAGCCTTCCCTGATTGTTTTGGATTATCGATGGAACTGTAACGAAAATTTGAACAAAACTTTGCTAACGAGATTGAAGTTCATTTTTCAGCCCACTGTTTTTCAACTTTCCAGTTCGTTTGCGGCTACGTAAGTTACCGCTGCGGTTTTCTCTAGTTTACTTAGCTTGCCCCGGTAGACACAACATTTGGCCGTTCTCCGCGGTTTATATTCGGTCTCTTCGAAGTTAATTTAATGTTTTGTGTTGTGGGTACATAAGCGTACTGTTCTAAATATAGACTGATTCGAACATTTCATCACAACTCTTGGATTTGGGAAGTAACTCGCTTATGGTGGAGAAAGGATTTGGAAGATAACAGAAGTTTGCCGGATATGAAAATTCTGCTGCCCTGTCGCCTTTAATTTACATATGAAACAAATAACGGCAGATGTTCAAAATCTTTTCGCCTTTGAGACAAGTTCCTTGCACCTTCAAGTACAAGCTACAATCTTATGTATCCAATGCTTGCAAAGTACCTCCACGTTTAAATCGTCACACAAGCTTGACAAATATTGACAATAAAGAATTTAGACAATTTCAGACTTCTGAAATCTTACGTTACCTGGCAACAACGTGACTCTTTTAGTCTTTCTAAGACAGGATCAATATAAATTGTGGTAATTATAGTCTCGCTGTTTTACCAGCTTATGTACTTTACTCTAGGGTCCACTTAGCAATAACGTTAGTGAACATGCAGTTGATCGGTTTTGAAAAACTGAATAAGATGCTATCCTAACATGATGATCTACGGTAACCGGAAATCTTTATGAAGAGTCCAGGGGTATTGGCACTTATATTTCACGTTTCAGATGTGGACATAACAACATAACAATTACTTCAAAATCGAACAAAACTGTTGTCGTGTCTGTTTCTTTTTTTAGAATTTTGCAGCAACAACTAAGTCACGGATAAAATTTATTTAGGTCATGCACTGTACAGACCTTCTTCGTCGGTTACCAAAAGAACAATAGTAGCTCTGCAGCTGTGAAATGATTAGAAACGATTAACGACCTAAACCACAAATATCTTCATAAAAAAAAAAAAAAAAAAAAACACTAAAAGTCTATTATGAAACTTGAAAAGAATCGGGTTCCACGCATGCCAAACGAGCCACATGCGGTCACAAACAGTATCACTTTTTATGCTCTGTTTTCTTAACACAATTTGCTTTGTGATCAATTTTGAAATGTTCGTAAGTTAATTAGTAAAAACTTGTTGGCAGAATAACGGCAATTTTGTCTTTACTTGTCAAACATTTATGCAACTTCTCCAAATCTCTCCAAATCTTAATTCAAAGTAACTACATGTATGTGGTGGCGAAAGGTATTCGTTGCCGAATTAATGTTTTTTGGAGTGGTTGATTTTTTGGAATTTCTATTCACGTCAAAAAAGATATGATATGACACTTATAGTTGTAAACAGTAATTTCAAGGAACTTTCTCGACTTCCAGCTTAACTTTGGCTTAATACCTGTGTTAACAACCCACAGTTACTAAATATTGCATATTAATGAGCACATTTGGAAGCAAATCGTATGTTGCGTAGTGAGAACAATTAGTTTTCTGTTGGTGGCCAGGCGTATTTGCATTTCATAATATTTAAAAAAGCTGTTTGCAGTTTGCAAATAACTTTAAAATTACCTGTTCGAAAAAGGAACAAAGACGCGTTTTGTAAACAGTACTGAACTAACAGTGTTAGGAATTAATTTTGTCGAATTGCAGCGACTTGTTGTCTTATAAAAGGTAAGTTCAGCCTTCGTTAGAACTTAGAAGTCAGTTTAATTATATTATTCTGAGCTTGAATACTTCACACTACGGGAAGACATAGCTGACAGTCAAAGTTGACATGTTAGGGTTGCCTGGTTCAATGAATTGCAAACGGCCTCCGCAACTGGGATGTGGGTTTTGTTAAAACGGATCAGGAATGATGCGAACTGCTAGCAAGTGTAAATAAAGCCAATGTTTCATCCAAAGAAACTGTTTTTAAATCCGCAACATGGAGTATAACGTTTTGTTTTTCTTCGAATATTTAAATCCTCTGTTTAATACGGCTCCAAAAGTATTTTCTTTCCGACCATAGTGTATATAAATGCTAATTACTCATAAAATTTTGTTTGGTATTTGTTGCATACAGTTAAGAATGGCTGTTTAATTGCTAGAATTTTACTTTTAGTATCGGTCAAAACTTGAACTCTGTTCAGTTTGCTATGCACGGATTGAGGTTTACAAATATCAAACCGAAAAACCACCTTAAAAGTTCCTTCGCCTCAAGGGAAAATAATACATAAATATTTCATAACTTAACTTGTATACCAGCTGTTTATTGTATCGAGAACGCTGAATCTTCCTCTAGAAATTTCTTCTTGCTTACTCGAGCATTTAATAAGTTCGAGTCAACAACAACTTTTCTTTGGCGTGCTTCAGTGAGGCTGGAGTTATCGTTTATGCCGTGTCTCTGAAAAGACAAAAGAGTAGAGAGGTTCTATTGTGAAGATTTCGCTCATTTGCATATTGGAGCGTGGGAACCCAAGAAAAGGTTCCGTCATTTTGTTGGTGTGTCACTAGCCCAACACTCAAGGGAGTATTTTGAGACTCTATTTTGAAGTGAGAAGTTGGGAAAAATTGCCTGTCTGTCTCAGAAGACCTCAGAAAGGGTTGCTGCATAATATTGTACGTGGAAAAAGGCACATAAATAACCAAAATCACTTTAGTCATTCAGAATAAACGCCAACTGGCCGAAGAAAATGGGCATCATTAACCAAGATACGACAGTCGCTTCGAGACAAATTTTGGATGTCTTTTGGAATACCAACTGCAGTTTCGTTTTATTTTTCAAGATTTTGGGGGTAATTTGTTTAAATGAGAGAGATAGGACTGATTCTTGCCAAGACAAGGTTACCTTTATTTCATTATTAATTTTATGTTATGTACTGTACTTGCTTGAGTACGTAAATTGCATGGCTCATCGAGGTTTAAAGAAACATCACAGGATAATTTTGCTGCTTACACAAAAAATTGTAGCATGTCTTATTAATTACGTCGATTGACATTGTCGCATTTGTATAATTTGCCAACTGCAATGTTGTAGTATAGTCGTACTACCATTTCAGCGGCGTCCTATTGCCTTGATTATGAACGCCTGACACTATACTCTTTTCGTAATTTTGTCGTACTTCTAGCCACTTATGTTGTTGAATCTTGATGAAACCATACTGACTCCATGTTTATATTGCCAATTTTGCAAGTATCCCAAAGTTATAAGCGAGAAACTTGAGTAATTTTGTAATTTTTCTGATTTAATCGACAGAAACATGCGGGGGTACAGTAACCGAAGTGATGAACAAAGATCCCATTCATGGGACAGAGGGAAGAGAGACGAACTCTCCCGCAGCTGGGGAGGGGAGAGGTGGAATAAAGACCATCATAACGACAAAGCCCAGTTGATGAATGGACCGACACAAAGCCCGGCGTGCAAAAAATATATCTCTGTGGTCTCCGAGGGAAACTATTTTATTGCTTCCAAAGCACCGCTTCCGGATCGCATCGAGCTGCGAATGTGTGGCACCACAGGGCTGGGTCAGAACAACCGTGCTCTGTCCATACCGGATCTATACCGCGTCAAGATGAAGCCTATTCCAGAGGTGGTGGAAGAACAAGTGGATGCAGTTCGCCGAGAAGAAGTTCACTCGGAGAATGCTTGCCCTCTGCATGATCATCACCTACCAAGGAGTGGTTCTTTGAAAGAGATGTACTACTCGCAGTACACGCACCATTTTGACCCGAATGAGCCTCGTTCGCACATCGCTGGCTGGAAGGTCGATATAGAGCCGAATAACATCCCCCATCGTCGGTCTCGGATGTGCGTACTCAACAACCCCATGATCTCGGGGTCAAGAAAGAGGCCCGAGCGCCCGAAGTCTGCTCCTCCTACGCTGGCCTACGAGTTTGATGTTTTCACGGAAAATATCGAAGATGACAGACTGTCTTGCGCCACTCTTCCTAACTTTCATCATGGCTTCCCCGAATCCACGCGAAGTACCGACGACTTAGCGACTCGTCTTCAAGATTTGATCGTCGATGCATCGCCTCCGGAATACATCAACGACGACAGTTCCTTCGGCTACGATCCGAGCGATGACACGTCGGAAACTTCTTCGGCGTTTTACCATGACCAGGGCTTTTACAAGAAACGCGATCCCGCCAAATTTAGCTACAGCCGTCCCAAGTTACTCCGACTATCCGCCGACTTTCCTGGGGTGAGAAATCTAGAAAAAATGCGTCGAAAACGCAAAAGCATGGGTTCCTCCTCAACTGGCTCCACTTCTCCTACGCCTTCTCCGTCAGGAGAATACGGGTTTTTTGTAGCGCTGACATCGAAGGATCAAGTTCCACAACAAACACACGGACGATACTATTCCATGACTTAAACGGGAGAAATTCACAGTTGAAAGAAAATTTGGACGACATAAATTAAAGAAACGGATATGAAGTGACTGAAGAAAAGAAATATTTGCAAGAGGTTTCCTCAATTATCTGGACGAATACTTTTAAACAAAAACTCGAAAGCCTCTTTTACCTTCAGTTAGTTTACACTTTTAAACATATCGGGGGATCACTCTTCGCAAGCAGTCGGAGAGTCTCCGACTCATATTTATTCAATCAGAAACAGAAGCACGAACACTCGCTCGCGACTCCGAAAGATATCTCGTAACCTGCCCTGGGGCCCGTTTCTCGAAGGTCCCGAAAAGTTTTCGCACGCGGAAAGCCCTAGCAAAATCTCGAACCTTATGATTACAGAGCTGTTTTATTCACATATTCTTAATATGAACAGAGGTTCTCTTCATACAAGAAGTTTCAGGCGTATGCA